GCACTGAGGTCGGCAAAGAGTGTTCACAGTGTGCAGGCACTTTGGACGTCGTGGCACTTGGACGTCATGCAACAGTCAAATATTGATTGGACGTCGTGGCACTTGGACGTCGTGCAACTGGCAGAGGCTTTGGACGTGGTGCAAATGATACTTTTTTACAATCCTATAGTGCGCTGTTTCACGACGTCCAAGTGCCACGACGTCCAAAGCTTGTAGAAAGACCATATTTTTGGCAGTTACTGTACTTTTGGACATCGTGGCACTTGGACGTCGTGCAACAACTCAAAAATTATGTTTTGGACGTCGTGGCACTGAAAAAATATTATTGGACGTCGTGGCACTTGGACGTCGTGCAACACTCCCGAAAAAATCAGCCGTTGTCAACTCAGTTGTAAATTTCTATTGTAAACGATTGAATACGTATCGAAATATCTAACGATTCGTGCTTCATAATCATTTTAACCTACAGTCTACAGTCTCTTCCCATAGCATTTTAGCATTGCAGTAATCCATTCCCACACTCAACACTGCCCACCTTTACTACTTCCTTCACCACCCCCTTCGTCGTGGACCAGTTTCCCTCTCTTCCAATAGCATTTTAGGATTGCAGATACATTAATGTAATTGCCAAAGACAGTTCACACACTCTGCACTGCCAGCATTTACTACTTCCTTCACCACTTCCTACGTCGTGGGGCCTGTTTCCTTCCCTTCTCATAGCATTTTAGGATTGAGGATACATTTATCTAACTGCCAAAGACGGTTCTCACAATATGTTCATACTTTACTACTTCCTAAGCCACTTCCTACATCGTGTACCTGTTTTCATCACTTTCCATAGCATTTTAGTATTTTAGATACGTTAAGCTAATTGCCACAAACATTGCCCACACCCCGCACTGCTAGCCTTTACTACTTCTTTACCATTTTTTATGTAGTGGGCATGCTTCCATCCCTTCTCATAGCATTTCAGCATTGCAGATACATAAATCCAACTGCTACACACGGTTTCCAGTTCCCAAACTCCACACTGCTCACCTTACTACTTCCTTCACCTCTTCTTACGTCGCAGACCTGTTTCTCTCTCTTCCAAAAGAATTTTAAGATTGTAGAAACTAAGATACCTTAATCTAATCGTCATAAACAGTTCCCACACTCCGAAAAACTCGCCTTTACTGCTTCCTTTATCAACATCCTACGCCACGAACCTGTTTACCTCCCTTACCTTAGCATTAATGGAATGCAAATACCTTAATCTATTGGTTATAAACAGATCCCACACTCCGGACAGCTCGCCTTTACTACTTCCTTCACCACTTCCTACGTCACGGACCTGTTTCCCTCCCTCTCCATAGCATTTTAGGATTGCAGAACCCTTAATCTAATCGTCATAAACAGTTCCAACACTCCGAAAAACTCGCCTTTACTGCTTCCTTCATCACTTCCTACGTCACGGACCTGTTTACCTCTCTTCCCTTAGCATTAATGGAATGCAAATACCTTAATCTATTGGTCATAAACAGATCCCACACTCCGGACAGCTCGCCTTGTCTACTTCCATCACAACTTCGTACATCGCAGACCTGTTTTCCTCCCGTCCCATAGCTTTTTAGGATTGTAGATACCTTAATCTCACAGTCATAAATAGTTTCCACACTCCGGACAGCTCGTCTTGACTATTTCCTTTAACACTTCCTACGTCGCGGACCTGTTTTCCTCCCTTCCAATAGCATTTTAGGATTACAAATACCTTAATCTAATGGTCATAAACAGATCCCATACCCCGAACAGCTCGCCTTTACTACTTCCTTCACCACTTCCTACGTCGCGGACCTGTTTCCCTCCCTTTCCATAGCATTTTAGGAATGCAGAAACCTTAATCTAATCGTCATAAACAGTTCCCACACTCCGGACAGCTCGCCTTGACTACTTCCTTCACCACTTCCTACGTCACGGACCCGTTTCCCTCCCTCTCCATAGCATTTTAGGATTGCAGATACCTTAATCTAATCGTCATAAACAGTTCCCACACTCCGAAAAACTCGCCTTTACTGCTTCCTTCATCACTTCCTACGTCACGGACCTGTCTACCTCCCTTCCCTTAGCATTAGTGGAATGCAAATACTTTAATTTATTGGTCATAAACAGATCCCACACTCCAGACAGCTCGCCTTGACTTCTTCCTTCACCACTTCGTACATCGCGGACCTGTTTCCTTCCATTCCAATAGCATTTTAAGATTGCAGATACCTCAATCTAATTGTTATGAACAGTTCCCACACTCCGGACAGCTCGCCTTGACTACTTCCTTCACCACTTCCTACGTCGCGGACCCGTTTACCTCCCTCCCATAGAATTTTAGGAATGCAGATACCTAAATCTAATCGTCATAAACAGTTTCCACACTCTGGACAGCTCACCTTGACTACTTCCTTCACCACTTCCTACGTCACGGACCTCAAGCTAGTGTCGTCATCCTACTAATATTATAAATGAGAAAGTTTGGATGTATGGATGTATGGATGTATGTTTGTGACAAGTGAACGCGAAAAATACTGGTCGGATTGGGCTGAAATTTGGCATGATGATAGCTCACATTCCCGATTAACATATAGGCATATTCTTATTTCAAAAATCCTTTCGGGCTCCGCCCCAGTGGCTCTGGAGTTTCCCATGTCAACCTTATGAGAAATGGAGTTATTGAATCTTTACAGCTGTTTCAATTAAACAAGTTGGTTCTGTTCTATGATGTTCAATAGCATTAAAGTTACAAGGATTACCAACAGGGTGCAGCACTATTATTTCTTTTACATTTATGACCACAGCTAATTTGCAACCAAAAGGTGAGTGAGCGTAGCGAACGAACTTCAACCTTGAGGCGAGGTAGCGTAGCGAACGAGCTAACCTGAAGGCAAGTGAGCGCAGCGAACGAGCTCCAACCTAAAGGTGAGTGAGCGTAGCGAACGAGCTCCAACCTAAAGGTGAGTGCGTAGCGAACAAACTTCAACCAGGACGTGATGGAGCCATGCGAACGAGATAATCTTGAAAATTAAGAAGTTAAACGGGGCAAAGCCCGCGGGTTACAGCTAGTTTGATTATATTTATGATCCATACCACCGTTTGTGTTCTAATATCTGTGGAATAATGCTATCAGCTATTTATTTATCTACAGCATTCAAAAGTCAACAGCTGATCATATGTCTTTGTTTATGTGTCAAATGCTGCTTCCATAAGGATTACATTGAAACTTTGAGACCCAGTGGGGCGGATTCCTGAGAGACTTTTTTAACGCCATATAGATGTTGGCACTCACCGATATGGTCTTTATCACCATGCAAAATTTGAAAACGATTGATTCAGCCGTCTAGGAGGAGTTTGCGTATTACGGAATGCATAAAAGTCGACGTATAAGAGCTTCGCTCGCTCCGCTCAATAAATGAGAAAGTTTGGATGTATGGATGTATGTTTGTGACAAGTGAACGCGAAAAATACTGGTCGGATTGGGCTGAAATTTGGCATGATGATAGTTCACATTCCCGATTAACATATAGGCATATTCATATTTCAAAAATCCTTTCTGGCTCCGCCCCAGTGGCTCTGGAGTTTCCCATGTTAACCTTATGAGAAATGGAATTATTGAATCTTAACAGCTGTTTCAATTAAACAAGTTGGTTCTGTTCTATGATGTTCAATAGCATTAAAGTTACAAGGATTACCAACAGGGTGCAGCACTATTATTTCTTTTACATTTATGACAACAGCTAATTTGCAACCAAAAGGTGAGTGAGCGTAGCGAACGAACTTCAACCTGGAGGCGAGTTAGCGTAGCGAACGAGCTAACCTGAAGGCAAGTGAGCGCAGCGAACGAGCTCCAACCTAAAGGTGAGTGAGCGTAGCGAACAAACTTCAACCAGGACTTGATTGAGCCATGCGAACGAGATAATCCTAAAAATTAAGAAGTTAAACGGGGCAAAGCCCGCGGGTTACAGCTAGTTTTTTTATAAAGTCCAACGATCAGGGACAGCTGGGTCAAGTTTAGAACCTTAAAAAGCTAAATAAGACTTTTCTCTCGATCAAACCAACAATCTATTGATATTCATGCGAGCACTATAACCACTCAGCGGCTGCCCAGACAATAGTCAGATGCTTCAAAGAATTGATGTTCAAAGCCGCTTTCTTCTATTGGCATTCAAGTTTACAAATATATTCCAGAGAAGAGTGGGAAGGGCAAGACCCAACCCCTGGCGTTAACCTTGGAATTATTTCTCTGGGTATTTATTGATAAAGAATTAGTATTGACATTATTGATTTACTGGGCGAGAAAAGCCCACATTGGCTTAGTGGCTTAGTGACGCCACTGACGCTCCCATAGGTAAAAGGCCAACCACGATTCGACTATCTGTAATCATTATCATTATTATCACTTGTAAAAAATCAACCAGGTTTTAAGAACATAAACTGCAAAATATTTTAAGCTATACACTATACCATGTGGAAATAGTGATGCGGTATAAAAAGAATTGTGGCAGCCTCTAATATGATGAATATAGGTCTATGTATTATTTGGTTTTCGTTAGGAGTTATTTTTGTGTCTTATTTATTCAAAGTTTAAGGGGTTCAGATGATATAAGAGCAGTATTAGTATGCCAAAAATTTATTCATAGCTCATAAAATACAAAATAATACAAAATACTAATGAAACAAATTGTTATACATTATAATCATTATCAGATAATAACTTAAGTGTTGTATAACCAATGATACAAAATACTAAATGTCTCCTTTCACTCAACGAACTGAATGAACCATTACCATATGTTTGTATGCATAACAACTTTTGAAACGACAGAACAGCTGTGAAAGTGAAACAAACCTTTTTGTTTTGTTGATGTGTGCTGTGAATTTCTGTCTATCCGAAGTCACGTCAGATTTAGATTTAGATTTATTTGTGTATTTTCCATCGTAATAATCTTCGAAAGTTCTGTATGATTGATTTTTAATTAACTTAATTGTTAAAATTTAACTAGGGCCTATAATGAAAATGTAGTGTATAGTTATTATTTTCTAATTTTTAAGAGCCTAGTAAGATGTGGGTAAAACCTAAAGAAGTTCTGATTGCCAATGCATTCTGGTAAGGAAAACATTTTTACTTTTGTTTAATAACGGGAATAGCTAATTTTAGACTGAAATAGACTGTATTTGAAATAATAATATCAACCACATATAATATCGTTAGGGAAAATAGGTTTGTTATCTCTCCATAGCTTTTAGGCCTAGTTTCTTGGTTATAATAGCCTAATAATGTAACACTTATAAGCAAGTTTCAGTCTTTCTTTAATTTTTTTCTTATCTCATGAATACTAAAGCTACCATACTGGAGTTGGTTGATAAGCCTATTAGATAGTTTTCAACCGGGCTGAGATTGCTCATTGCGGGGCAGAAAAATGTGTGATTCTTCATATCTTAAACAGACTACTAAGTTAACTCAGGCTATTTAGAAGGCAGCAAAACTATAACTTATTAGGTAATCTACTGTATATACTTAGACAACAATGTTTGGATATTCCTTATTAGCTACCAGTGGCCTATATAGGCCTATTAGGGTAAATTTTTGTGCCGTCTGCTGCCCGTCCACCATGTCCAGGCTTATATTTTCCATCTACCATAGGGTCAACGATGGAAGCCAAAGAATATTCGAATATGACCGCAAATCATATGATTGCATAGACAAAAATTGGGTCTGTTACTTGAGCAAGACAGTGTAAAACAACGTCTAAGGGTGAATGCCCATGCTTATGATGACTAATTAGCCTAAAAACGTTTTAAAATAACTTAAATTACATTTAGGTAAAATCAGGATTACTAGAAAAATACTGGTATGGATCATAAACATAAACAAAATGACGTTGTTGGCCCGAATCCTACTTACTAATAGCATTGAACATATGATTTGGCAGTTCCATTTAAGCAATGTTAAATAATGTTTATTTTCGGGCCAGAACTCAGAACTCAACTTATTAACTCAGAACTCCTAACTTCCTTCTTATCCTAGGCTGAAGGGGGCCCAAGCCTTAGAACAGCCTTTAACCACAGAAAACATACTAGGCCTTACAACCCAGAATGCCAACCGCATGGTAAAAATCATTAAGTAATTTGAGAGAGCTTTGCCTGTCAATTCGTAGGCGCCATCAGCCTATTTACCACACACCATTCTGGGTTATAGTAGTAGCCTACCTATTTTTTCTGTGCTTTAACTTTAATGGGCTCTCCAGCTACCGTACTGAAATTTCATCATTAATTGTGTTGTTTCCGACAGACCATAACTAAGGAGCTACAATAGCCTACTTCTATTTTACAGGACGACTGAACAAGCCAGTCTATATTTCGTTCTCCAGCGTCGTAAAGGCCATGGGAAAACATCAAGCATCACATCTCTCTTTGTGGGGACAATAGATTCTGTGTTTGATACAAAACCACCTCCATACCGCATACTACATCAGACCCCCACTTCTGAAGTCTACTACTGTAAGTAATAGTATATTACGTTAAAAGTTCCATAAAAGATTGGTAAAAAAATGTTGGACGAGTAAGTTAAACATAGGCTACAATATTTTTTGCCATGCTACTTACCTATTCTGAACTAACTTAACAATAAAAAAAATACAAATCCGTTTTTTAATCCTTCCAACTAAAGGTCTTAACAATCACTAAGTTACCTAGGCTACTTATAATTTCTAAGAGAGGTTGTGTTTTTGTTTGTAACAACTCATTGCCAATTATAATCAGCTGGCGTCCGGTAAAAATTCATTACAGTGATGTAGTTTGTAATAAAATCCCATTTGATTATGCGTGCGGCAAAAAGCTGTTTTCCGGAATAGATCCTTGCGAGAAAAGTCCAGAAAAACAGTGTAGTGTGGCAAAAAAGTATAATCTGCCTGTGTACAAATGTATATCAATAGGTAGCCTACATAGCCTACCAAACAAGTTAACCCTCCAAAATACTTAATGGCTTAAATAATTTACTAAAACCTTCAATTAAAAGTAGGTTAGGTAGCCTAAGGTAATTTAATAAAAACAATACATTGTGAATTACGTAAATTCCCCTAGCTCGTTTTGCCCAAGTTACAAACACGTCAATCAAAACATAAATTTTTATCTCTGTCTCATTAAATTGTTTTGGCTAAAGGTACACCTCTTAACAGGCTGTCATGATTTATTGTATAAGAGCATGTGGAAATATCGGTTAGGCCTACCGCACACGAGAGACTTTTTGTCGGCCGACTGTTGGCCATCTGTCTGGCTGGAGTCGGGTGGACAATCGAAAAGTCGTCAAGACTGATTGGTCGTTGACTATGGCACGACTGTTTCTTTCTTTTTTCTGTCTTTCGAGTGTCAAAAGGATGTATATGACAGAAACCGCTGTCATATGTGCGTTACTGATAAGATTTTGTGCAAGAAAACTTAAGAGAAAATACTGGGTGTATCCAATTTTATAGTCCGAGAACCTTGAAAACTTAAGACTTAAGAAAACTTAAGAGAAAATACTGGGTGTATCCAATTTTATAGTCCGAGAACCTTGAAAGGCCAGATTTACCTCTATACTCGGATTTGAGGAAATATCCGGACAAATTTTTCCATGTACTCATGAATGAGTGTTGATTATTTTAGCCAATTATTAAAACCCCGGCTTCAAATACCTCATCCCATAACTTTTAGGGAATAAGCTGTAACCGTAGGTCTCATGGTGAGACCTGGTCCTGGGACCGATTTACCTTTTCGGTTTGATGTCCGCAGAGGCCAAAAGCACCATCCGTTCAAATTCACACACACACATATATATATATATATATTTGTCCGTTAGCACGATAACTCGAAAAAAAATTATCCGATTTTGATGAAATTTGGTACAAACGTGTAAATCTACATGTATTTTATTCGAATGAGTTTGCAAACCAGCATGACTATGGGAACGGGGGTTTATCGGGTAAAAATGGGGGTTTCCCATTTTGCAGAGCTAATTTTGCATACCCTAGCTAATTTTGCATAGCTAATTTTGCATCTAAATTTGCAGAGCTTGAAAAGAAATAATTTAGCATGCTAATTGTTATCATAATGATTACAAGAAAATTCCAAAATATTTAAAGTTAAAATTTTCATGTTATATATGTAGAACAAGTAAACTGTTGTAGTTTGCTTGTTTATGGATGTATTTTCATAAAACTTGGCAAATATATTTATTTTATACTCAGCTATTAATGTTTCACTAAAACACACCCTGAATACCCTCCCTGTAGCAACAAACCTAGGTACTCATTTATCCTAATTTTATTGAAATAGATTAAATAAAAAATTAAATCAGGCAAATGGGAATTCACTTAGTCTGCAGGTTAGCTACAGCGGGGGTATTTTTTACTATGACCAAATACTCTTTCAAAGTCTTTTTATAAAGAGGGGACCGTGCCTCAACTTCATCGATAAGTTTATCAACTTTCTCGTCCCTCAAAACACTTGCACTGGTGGTTGTCGAAGCCATAATAATAACAATAACACACAAATAGTAATACTTATCATAATAACAATAATAATACACACTCACAAGTGTGTATATATATAATATATTATATTATTCATGTAATAATAATTGTACTTACATGAATAAAGGATATTTTGATTTGATTTGATTTTGACACATGATAACAATGCACTCGACTGTCAGACAGACAGACTTTTTAGTCGTCAGTGTGCGCGATCAAACTTATCTCCATGCCTTTATCAATAAGACACGACAGTTGAGTCGGGGAGCAGTCGGCGAAAAATCGGTTAGCACCAAACTGCCCCGACTGTCTGCAGACAGTCTTCCGACTGTCTTGCTGCGGTCGGCCCGTGTGCACGCTCAGATTTACCACTATGGGGCCGACTTTGACTCCCGACTACGACTAAAAAGTCGGCCGACAAAAAGTCTCGATCGTGTGCGGTAGGCCTTAGAGTGCATCAGGACTTCTGTTTCAGAATCCTGGGTTCAAATCCCATTAATCACTGATACCTACATATATTTGTTAGACCTATGCGATAACGTTGTGACCTAGTAGTTCTAAGCTAAATTTTAGCTGCAGAAGCACATACTTAAATAAAAGATATCGGCTAAAGAAATGAACCTGAATGAACTTCCTGTATTGACAAAATCCCCCTAGTAAAGGACGTAGGCTACTGTATGAAAGTAAACAAATTAACAATCATTCTTAACTTGGGGTTTAAAAAACATACATATTCTGTTGTGTTAATAGAATTAATATAGGCCTAATCTAAATATATGACATAAGGAACTGATTTACAGGTTTAACTATCACTGTAATATTTAAAAACAAAATAAACCTTAAGAGTTTGTTCATGGGTATGCACTATTATTGCTAAAATGTGAATGTACCGGTAATTCATGTCAGTCAAAAAATTGTGTTTTAGTGAGGAAGAAAATTCATGTGCTGGTTGTGAACTTTTTTAAACAGTCTGTAATATAATATCTCTTTAACACGTTCGCTGCTACGGACGTTCCGGAACGTCAGCCGGGCCACGGCGCCAGGAGCTAAGAACGTTCCAGAACGTCACCGTTCATTGTTGTTTAACGTTGCTATGGATAAGCCAGCACGTCACAAGCGTTCTATATTTCTTTGCAGCTCGTACGGACGTACTTTTCTGACAATAAAAAATATAGTTTCCCAAATCACCACCAGGGTCGTTTGGAACAGGGCTTTGTTTTACCTCTTTCCTGCTAGATAGCGACACTACTTTACTGACTGTAACCTGGGTAGTGCTGCTATCTATCAGAATCACTTAGTACTATATCCAAAGCCAGTTTTATTGCAGAACATTGCCATCCAGTATAACTACTGTTGTTTTTACTGAAATTCAGTGTATCGGTGGCAATGTCACGCAGCGGCCGAGCGTTAGTTCAGCAACTGGCGCCGTCCCGGCATCTAGCGCTCAGCAGCGAACGTGTTAACAGCAATTTTATTGAATCAGTGCATTGAATTTGTGAATAATTTATCTGAATGGCAGTAAGTGAGTAAGTGCTCACGTTATTACTACAATCAATGTTTTCATAGAAAAAATAATATTGTATATTGACAGCCTACACATAATAAGAACCAAAAACAACTGGTTATCATTTTTGGCCCTGACCTGTTAAGTTCTCTGTTGATAATATATGTTAAATAAACAGGCAAAAGAGAATCTACTAGTGCATGGATATCAAAAAGACTTGGTAAAATTAATTTCAACAAGGTTGTTCTTTTTAATATCCTACAATATATAAAAAAAGAAAAGTATAGTATTAAGGTTTGTCTAAATGAAAGCTCATTCTAGGCCATATAATAGTGTCAACTTGTATCTTTATTATTGTTGTTTAATTCAAACTAACTGCTGCAAAACAGTGTATGGACAGTTGATAAGCTTATCAAAAACTGATAAGTCGGTCAAGTTCCAGGTTGCATTGTGACTTTATATTGTCTGGATGCAGTAAATGTGGTTCAAATAGGAAATTTTTTTTAAATATTCAGTTTTTAAAGAAAAATATGCATGCAAGGCCTTCAGGACGTTTGATCGAAATTACTTAATTTAAATTTCAACCGAGGTATATTTTCTGGATTTCGTCCTTGAGTTTTTATCACTATGACCTGACAAGTAAGCCGTACAGTGGCAAACAAAATTTGTTTAATCCAGTTTTAATGGAATGTAAGAAATTATAAATGGAATTTGTGATGATGATTTGCTCGGATGAACGTTGTTGCAGTTTGATTAGCCTATCAGAAATTTTAGGCATGCTTCTTAAAGTTAAAAAGACTGGATAATGCAGCAGTATTCTGAATAAGGATGAATTTTGTTTAGAGTAGGTTGTCTAAGTAGGTTAGGTATTTTTTGTACAGTGCTTTTGCTGCCCAAAAACATTCTCATGGTGTTGTACTCAAATTGATTCATAGTAGGGGGGGACTTTTAGCACGTCATTGTAATATTTAATAAAATATTATTGATATCCAAAATAAATCATTAATCTATGGAATCATTTTACTACCTAAATCGACCCTAAAGTTCTGTAATCTAAGATATTATTTATTTTTATAATTTTCTCACAACGAATGAAAACCTTTATGTTTACATGACCACTTTGAAACAGCAGAACAGGTAAAACCGCGTTTAAACCCCAGCTCACAACAAAATGTTTAAAACCAGAACTGGAACAATTTGTTTCCGATTTCTTGTGGAAAACAAAATTTCTGTTGTAGACACAGTAAAACTGTTGAAAAAAGTTATGTGCTTTGGAGTGTTGTAAACTCGTATCTATATCACCTGGAAACATCGGTTTTGAGTTGTCTTATAAAAAAGCCGAGGCTAATTTATTTATTTTGTTGAAGTGTGATGCAAATTTATGTATAAAATCTGAACTGGCATACAATTTTGATTCGTTATTATTTAGTTCATAGTTACTATTATCAGTGTACAAACATAGAAGTAAGGAACAGAGGATACATTCCATGGTACACTTAAGTGGTGTCTAGGCCAACACCTCCCTCTCGCCCTCATGTACTACAACGCTCATAGTGGAGGAAGACCATGTGTCCTGTGCGATAGGAATTCCTGCACAGTGCCTGCCGTTTTGGCCCTTCCTTGCTTGTCACAAGTATTTTTCCGGCACAACATACCGGAGCTGAAAGCGCACGGTTGTCCCATCAACATGTGTCCTCTGTACCTTACTTCTCTGTGGTGCAAGTAATACAGGGTGGCGCAAAGAAACGGGAAATTTTGAATCCGTTGTTGGTACACCTGTATGTCTTGTAGGAATGTGAAACTGAAGTCATGACGCCAAGTAGTAATGGATATTTAGTTGAGATGGAGCAGTGGAGTGGTGCGGAGAGTGCAGTCACCGTGAGAGCGTATTACAAAAATGGTGACAGTGCATCAGCTGCAAATGTTTGGATGTCTGTCACTTTCATTTAAATGGACATGTCAATAAGCAGAACAAAATCCCACTGAACTTCATCAACGTTCGTTACTCAGTCCCAAAGTTACTGTATGGTGTGCAGTGGATAGTCTTGGTGTGATTGGACCTTACTTTTTTTAGGATGAAGATGGCTCCACTGTAACCGTCATATCTCAACGTTACTTTCATATGCTGGAGAAATTTTTTTGCTCCACGGCTTCATACTTTTCCAGATATTGAAATCCAGCAAACCTGGTTTCAACAAGACGGAGCCACCTCACACACTGTAAATCTGTCAATGGCTGCATGGAGAAGTTTTTTTGTGGAGTGCATAATTTCAAGGAACGCTAACGTCGTTTGGCCTCCAAGGTCTCCAGACTTCTCAGTGTGCGACTTCTTTCTATGGGGACATCTAAAGAGCGTTGTGTACCTGACTAGGCCAAGAAATCTTATTGAGCTCAAGACTCAGATCGAAGAACATGTCACCAACATCCCAGAGGACACATTGCGTAGCACGATGCTAAGTCTTCAAAATCAATTGAACGAATAGGCCCTAAAGACAGCACTTAACTGATGTGATTTTTAACTTTATTCCTATTTCCAACATTTCTTATGTATTTTCCACAATTGACCAACACATTTTCACCATCAAGGATTTTTTGTACAATTTTCTTGGATTATTATGATTATTTTAAAATTTCCCGTTTCTCTGCACCACCCTGTATTATAAGTTTTAAAACATTTGGATAGTAATTAGAAACTCGATTTTTTTGTTTTAACTATTTAATTTATGTTTTAGTAATCGCCTGTTCACTTACTCTGGCCGAGATACAGAAGGACTGGGAATGGCTGCAAGAGAATCTCGACTGTTTGTCTTCGTTTGAGAAGGAGGAGGACGTCACAGAGTTTGTATGCTGCAAGATCAACTCCATGATCGCCAACCACCAAAATGAAGCAATTGCATTCGAAGGTGTGTAGCAAATTTTGTCAGAACTGTCACAAATTTTTCTCTCTTCTTTCAAAATTCAATTCCTTATTCGCAATCACCACTATAAATAGTATGATTTTACAATCATGCATGGACAAATATTGTTTAGTCTAAATGATTCTCTCAAAATACAATCTATATACAGTAGAACCCCTCATATCTGACCTCGGAATAACTGACTCCTCGGGATATCAGGTCTAGTGTCCGACCGTCTACTTGTTTCATGTCCTGGGCGATAATGCCGAGGGCGATCGCTTGCCCGAAAGGCTGATCGCGGATGTTGCCATAATTGCGGCAGACAATCACCATTGACGCCGATAACAGGTGTTTTTGCAGTCGCGGGAGACGATTACCGAAGTCGCGGAGACTGCAAGTTACGCTCTTGGTAGTTGTCACGGTCGCGGGGAACAATTTCCAATGTCACGGAAACTGGAGGTTATGCTCCTCCCGATAAATGAAATGAAATGAAATGAAATGTTTATTCGTCACATAAGTTTACAAGATTGTGATTTTCACATATAAACATATGACATGTCAATACCACTTTACAATCTAATAATACCTTATGCTAAATTCTTTGTTTTTATCAATCCATAAAACCTAAAGCTAAGTTTTTATAAAATCATCTAGGGAATAAGGACACAAGAGAATGAGATAAGATTTTAGTTTTCTTTTAAAGGATGACATATTTTCTTCAGTTTTAATTTGATCTGGGAGGTTATTGTAAATTTTCCTACCCATGTACCATGGCGATCCTTCATACAGAGCTGTTCTATGCACAGGATATTGAAGATCATTCCTGTGTCGGGTGTTATATTGATGAGTGTAATTTTTCAACATAAATTCCTTATAATTTCTTTTTACAAAGATGCACAGTTGAAAAATATAAACTGCATAAATTGTCAAGAGTTTCATCTGAATAAAAAGGGGGCGGCAAGAGGAACGTGGTCTGGTATCAGCTAAAATTCTAACGGCAATTTTTTGTAAGATAAAAATATTCTTGGTAATGGGGGAGCTGCCCCATGAGATAATACCATAGGAAGACCTAGACATAAAATAAGAATGATACACAGCAAGAGCTGCATGCAAACCCGAAGACTTATAAACCACCCTTAGACCAAACAGTGCTTTTGCTAGAGACAAGCTAATTTGTATTTGATGATCAGACCATTTTAGATTTTCATTTATGTTTACACCCAGGAATTTAGTATTTGCAGAAGATTTTATGGAATCACCTGATTTTAGTTTGATTGTTATCTCACCTACCTTCAGTTGTGGATTATGGAAATGAAGAAGATGAGTTTTGGAACAGTTTAGATGTAGTCCGTTTTGTGCAAACCAAGTTATCATGGAATCTAAATCTCGGGATGCAATGTTAGTTGCAGAAAAAATAGAAGGTGCTCTTACTAGCATTGTTGTGTCATCAGCGAATTGAATAATTTTGGAAGAAATTGAAAAAGACAAGTCATTGATGTAGAGGATGAACAGAAGAGGCCCCAATTTAGATCCCTGCGGAACACCATGGGTTACTGAGCTCCATTCAGAAAAATGTTTGACACCGGATTTATCTTTGATGACAACCTGCTGATATCTGTTAGTGATGTAACTAGAAAACCACGAAAAAGATGATCCAGATATCCCATACAATCTCAATTTCTCCAAGAGAATGTCATGCCTGACACAATCAAAGGCCTTAGACAAATCACAGAAAACACCAAAGGTTCTCTGTGATCCGTCCAAGGCCTCCACTGCCTCAGAAACTAGATTGACTATTGCATCAGACGTGCTTCTCTCCCTCCGAAAACCAAATTGATTCTTGTTCAATAAATTGTTTGATTCAAGAAATGGAACAATTTGTGAGAGAACAACCTCTTCAAATATTTTTGAAAACACAGGTAAGAGAGCCACTGGTCGGTAGTTTGAAATTTCTTCCGAGTCCCCCTTTTTAAATATAGGTATAATTTGAGCATACTTCAATTTGTCGGGGAAGACTCCTGTCAGCAGTGAAATGTTGATAGAATGAGTGAGTGGTTTTATAATTGAAGAAGCCAATGATTTTATTACATTTGTAGGAATTTCATCCCAGCCAGTTGAACTTTTATTCTTTAATCGATTGATGCAGGAGATAACATCGGATTCAGAGACAATCTTAAATTCAAATGCATGTGGGACATTTAGAGTTGCCATTTTTGCTTTGGCTATTGAATCTGCCACCGAAACCTGGGACTGAAACTTATTTGCTACACCAATGAAGTGATGGTTCATGCAATCAGCTACTTTTATAGGATCGTCAATAACCTCCCCATTAATTTTGATTCCTAGACAAGGTTGTTCTGTTTTACAATTTGTACCAATTTCTCTCTTTACAATGCTCCATGTTGTTTTACCTACATTATCACTATTCTCTAACAAATTTAAGTTGTACCTCATTTTGGCTGCCCAAATTACTTTCTTAAAAACCTTCTTGTAATTTTTAAAGTATTCTAAGAAAACAGGATTTGTATTATTTCTAGAAATTTTATAAAGCTCCCATTTTCTTTTACTGGATATTCTAATACCTTTTGTTACCCATTGATTATTTCTCCCATTTGTTGACAGAGATTTCTGTTTAATTGGGCAATTATTCAAAAAAGAATCATAGAATATTCCAAAGAAATTATTGAAACTACCATTAGAACTAAGGTTTGACATGCAATTAGTCCAGTTCTCTTCAATCAGACCGTTTAACATACCAAGAACGTTTTCCTTCTTTATGACCCGCTTCGACAAGTATTTTTTACATTGGTTAGGCCTTATTTCATTTCTTTGACAAATTACCTGACCTAAGTGGTCAGATATCCCAAAGTCCACTACTTCACAAACCTTATCAATACTATTTACATTTGAAATTACATTATCAATACAAGTGGCTGTAGTTGGTGTTATTCGAGTATACTCCTTGATCATGGCATTGTACCCAAAAGACTGAAACAAAGTTTTAAACCTAACACATTTTTCATCATCAATTTGCATGTCTATATTAAAATCCCCACTTATGTATATTGGACACAAATGTTGTTCTGCCTCAAGGTGCTGTAATAGTTTTTCAAAGCTTGAGAAAAAAATCTTTAGGTTTTGGTCATTCGGAGTCCTGTAAATTACAATGTATATTGTTTTGGTTGACTTTTCATTACTCATTGTTTCAATAGCAGTGCATTCAAAAGCTTCTTCAATTGCCATAGAATCAATATCTTTCCTTTCTTTAAAAGTGATATTATTTTTTGCAAAAATACATACCCCTCCCCTACTTTTTACATTTCTGTGGTAAACTGAGGCTAGCTTATAGGAGGAAAAACAGTTAGGCAAGTGAACATCATTTGTATCCATCCAATGTTCTGACAAACAAACAATTTCTGGTTCAAGTTTTAAATGATCTAAAGTAACTTTAAAGACAACAAATTTACTTAAACTTGATCCCTGAATATTTAAGTGAGTTAACAAACATTTTTTTAGAATATTTTTTTTATATTTTACATTAAACTTTACATTTTTTAATTGTTTTGGCTTATTTACACGTTTATCTAAAGCTAAGTTACATACACTTGGGTTGCTGACGTTAAGTTTTTTTGAAGATCACTACTATTTACATTAGTATTTACACTACAGGTACTACTTTTATCAAAAGACATTTTGTCAGTAGAGGTTGTTGTCACACCTTCAGTTGTGTTGACCGTGATGTCTGCTGAAGCACCACTTCCTGACTCATCGGTTTTGTTCATGGCATTAAAGATGTTAAGTTTTATTTTATTTACAAAATCATTGTAAGAAAGCCCACTTCGGAGAGTTCTGGAAGAGTTCTCATCATTCACTACTATGATCACTTTGGCATTTGTCCTTTGTTGCAGCTGGCATATTCTGGTTACCATGTGCTCGACAGGAACATTATCCCTGACACAGCCCGCTGGTGAACAAACTATTAACTTTTGGCCTTTCTGTCTTACGTCCTGTTCCAGAGAATCGAAAGCTTTGTCATAATCCCTGATGTCTGGTTTACTGTAATATTTAGGTTTGGTTACTAATCCATATACTGAAACTTTGTTAATTTTTTGATAAGTTAGGTGTGAGTGTACAAAATCTGTTGTTAAGGGTTTCTTGAAATGTTTTTTAAATGCTGTCGCTACACCTGCACTCATGTGCCTGTCACTGTCAACGTCAGCAGAGATACAGTGAACAAAAGCTACCTCTTCTTCATCTCCTAGCTTGTGTATTGCGGCATTCATGTCTGCTTCGACAACAATGACAGGGTCATCGTCAGAGGGTAGTCTCATCTTCTGTTTGTTGACTGTGGATGGATTGAAGCAGCAGTCCTGGAGTGATTTTAGAATTTCTTCAGCAATCTTCCTTTTGCCCTTCTTGTTGAAGTGTAGACCATGGTTCGTGTATAGGTGACGAGGCAGAAGATGAAGTTCTAGCAGTTTATTGTTCCCCTTTGAGCAATTCATTTTTGCAATTAGCTTATCATTTATGTCACTGATTTTGTTGTCTAATCTCGGTTTGTCGTGGCGCATAGGCAGTGAGGCAAAAACAAGGTTTGTGTTTGTGGTACCTAACAGCAAATTATCAAAGTCGCTCATCAGACTCTCCATTCTTCGGGTTTCCACATCATTGGTCCCACCAATCACCAGAATAAAGTCATTTTTATTAAAATCTTTTGAAAGGTCCTTAACATCCTTTATAACGTCAGCTAATAGTGCTCCCGGTTTTACCATTGCAGACACATTTAAGTTAGTTTTACACTGCACAAGATTGCTCAGACCTCGACCATGGCTATCAGCCAATATCAGTAGTTTAGATTTACATTTTAGTTGTTTATAAACAACTGGCTTATTTTTCTTTGGTCTAGTATTAGACTGGAATGCAGGTGTTTTCTCATGTAAAATTTGTGCATCAGACACGTATTGTTCTGGTACGCTGTTGTTTATCCGACCTTTTGGCCGTTTCGACCATGGCCCAGTCCCGTCATTGTCGGATATGAGGGGTTTTACTCTATTGACTTTTCACTAATAATATTATAAGTAAAACAATTGCTATCGGCCTATTATTTTCATTTATTTTTTCCCACAATTATTGCTGCGGTACAAGTATTTGCGGTTTAAATATATTTTTAACTTCTCTAGGTTATTATGCTAAAGTGAAAATAAACCAGGCTGCAATAACTAACCTGCATAAGTTCACTTAAAACTTCTTTCTGTAGTGTGTAATCAAAAATTGTTTTTCAGACGAAGAAACCAAAGCATTCAAGAATGCCTCCTCAAAATTTCGCCGGACATTCAATTTACCTGTGGAAGATAAACTAGTTAGTTATTATTCATGCAGGTAAGTTATTTAAATAATCTTGACTATGTAGATATTAATACAGTACGGTAATCTTATCAATAGGGGATAACATTTTTTGTAAGATAAAAAAATAATTTTTAAAAGCCGCAGAATTAGAACTGTTGGCTTAAATCTGATGCCTATGCTCCGTAAGTGAGTAAAAAAGCAAACATTAAAACCATCCCAATCTTTTAAGAGTACAAATTAATAGAATCTCATAATAATCTGTATGTTATTAAAAATTGTTAGAGACCAATGTAAAATTGTTGATAAAATGATATTTCATGTAAAAAATTTAAATTTACTTAAATCAATATACAGGGTTAGTAAAAAGTGTGAAGACCCCCGTTTATTTTTGTAACTGTCCATACTACAAAAACTAAACTCGGCACACCTTCATGGCATGTTATGAAGTACCTTTTGGACATAACCGCCACTTGGTGTACATCCCCAACATGTGGGATTTTGGGGGAAACTCAAGAATTTCAAATACAAAGACCCATCGAGTGACCCCTCATTTTGAAGGTCCTGGTAAAAGAAAACCAACAACGCAAACTATACTCTGTTCAAACAGCTGTGGCACCTGACGGATTAGGATACCCCATGGAAACTCTTGGGATCTCCTAATCCCTCAGGTGCCACGGCTGTTTGAACACACTATAGAGGTCTCTATCTCAATCCAGTAAAAAATGGCAGCCAATTGAAATTCTCAGAAGTTAAATTTAACTTACAGCTTTCCAAGTCTGGAGACCCCCTGTAAATTTTGTAACGGCTCACACTAGGAAAACTAACATCTACACACCTTTTTGACATGTAACGAAGTACTTTTTAAACCTAATAGCCACTTGGTTCCCAAACCCAAAATGGGGGATTTTGGGGGAAACTCAAAAATTGTAAAAGTTAAGCCCCAGTGAGTGACCCTTCATTTTGAAGGTCGTGGTAAAAGAAAACTAACAACACAAACTCGAGGTCGCTATCTCTCTCCAGTAAAAAATGGCAGCCAATTGAATATAAAATTGCAAGTTATTTCTGATTTCTAAAGATTTCAATCAGCTGCCATTTTTTACTCAATGGGTCTTAACTTTTAAAACTTTTGAGTTTCCCCCAAAATCCCCCATTTTGGGTTTGGGAACCAAGTGGCTATTAGGCTTAAAAAGTACTTCATTAAATTTCAAAAAGGTGTGTAGATGTTAGTTTTCCTAGTGTGATCCGTTATAAAATTTACAGGGGGTCTCCAGACTTGGAAAGATAAATTTAACTTCTGAGAATTTCAATTGGCTGCCATCTTTTACTGGATTGAAATAGAGACCTCTAGTTTGCGTTGTTGGTTTTTTTTACCAGGACCTTCAAAATCAGGGGTCGCTCGATGGGTCTTTGTATTTGAAATTTTTGAGTTTCCCCCAAAATCCCTCATTTTAGGGATGTACACAAAGTGGCGGCTATGCCCAAAAAGTACCTACTTCATAACATGCCACAAAGGTGTGCCGAGTTTAGTTTTTCTAGTATGGGCCGTTGAAAAAATAACAGGGGGTCTCTACATTTTTTACTAACCCTGTGTAGCAGCACAGGCCATCAGGTTTGCAGATGATAAAGGTTTAAACTCTTAAAAAAAAGTTTAGCTTAAATGTCCATTTGTTTTGCAAAGGGTAGGGTAATATCCAAACAAAATAATGTGTGTAATACCTCTGAATATCCACAAGAGGAAAATATAACTTCAATAGTAGCACAATATTTGTGAAAATATTGACCTGTATTCATTTTGGGTATAAAACTAGCTACACTACAGCCCTAGTCTCTAAAAATGGGTCACCGCTTACCCAATAATATATAAAGTTAATAGAGCTACATTAATTTGGAAAGTTTAATTTTAGTTTTCTGAAAAATTAAAACTATAGTGTGTGTTACATTTTTTTTGTAGTGAATTCAATAACCTCCATACATACACTTTATACCTTAAAGGTAAAAATCTAAAGGAAAAGAAAAAAAATGTATCACAAATTTAACTTGTTTCCAGTTACCTGAAGGGCAGGTTACCCTTCCAAGGCTGGATGTATCTGTCTGTCTCCCACTTGTGTTTCTACGGCTACATCCTCGGCACGGAGAAGAAGATAATCATCCGATGGACCGATGTTACAGAACTAGAGAAGACCAGCGGATATTTGTTTCCAGACTCAATAAAAATCTCTACCAGAGATAACACGGTTAGGAATTAGTATAATTTTATAATAATTAGGGATGGACGGGATTGAGTTTTTAGTTCGGGACAGGATTGAGTTTATAGTTTGGGACGGGATTTTTGATTTCCTTCCCGATTTTCGGGACGGCATTTTTTTCTGTGCATAAAAAGGGTTTGTTTTAAAAGTCTTGAGTATTGCAGTTTTAAAAAAAGACAAACAAAATCAATTTTTACCATTTGTAAATGACTTGCAATCACGCTGTGATCGTCGGTATGGCTCGCAGTCACGGCGCGATCGTCGAAATGACTTCGACTCCTGCGTTCGCGGAACTATCGTGAACATCTCTCGTAGTAGTGATGTAATCGTCACTCGTGAAACGGCAAAATCCCTGACAATCGGATCAAATCACGCCCCGAAAAATTCCCGAATCAAATGTAATCCCACCCTGAAAATTGAAAATATTTTTTCCAGAAAATTCTCTGAAATTTCAGGACCGGCAGGATGGATTTTACATTAAAATGGACGAACCCTAATAATAGTAAAATAAAAAATATAAATACTGTATTAGGGATGGACGAGATTGGATTTTTAGTTCGAGACGAGGTGAAACGGGATTTTCCTTCTCATTCATAATGGGAAATGCACGTTCGACATTTTAACCTTATTTTGTAACATTGTTTAATACCTACTGATTTATGGCAGATGACTGGTTAAATACAAAAATAATAATTTTAGGCAAGAATATTTAAAATCTTTTATTAAAAAACATCAATAAAAATAACCAATATTAATTAGGCCTACCTTATTAAAAATAACACACGCATAAGAAACATGGTGATATCAGTTAGGATATATAGGTAGTTCAACCATAGACTAACCAACACAAGTAGACTTCTCATCCCATTGTAAATTTTGAAGCACACTTTTCTTGTCTAGTTAATGTACAGTGACACTGGGCGCTAGTGTCGACGAAATTTTGTTTCTATTATTTTAGAGTTAATTTCTTGATTTGTGCTTAACTGTTTGGTTATATAACTAGGGGACACATTATTGTTTATGATTAGATCGTATTTGGTTAAACGAGGTTTTAAATTACTGTAATAACAGGAAACATATTATAAACAAAACACAACCTCTACATAAACCGTACAGAACTTACAATAAAATTGTCTTCAGCTGTTCCATAAGGATGAGAAATCTACTAAGGGAGTGTTTTATCTATGGTTCAACTTTGAAAAATACAAAATTTAGCAGTCTGAAACATAAGTTTTACTAATTAAGAATTAAATTACAATAGTAGAACTTTGAACATACCAAATTTATAAGTCTCAAACATCAGTCTTACTAGTTAAGTATCAAGTAACCATTTTTCAGTCTTGTGTTATTTTTAAAATGATTTTGGCGTGACTTGTTTTGGCTATGCTTAAAAAACTTCTCATCATGATCATTTGCAATGTCAAAACAATAAATTATAAAACAATTAAAGCAATATTTAAAGTATATGTTAAGAATATATTAAATAAGAATGCCTTCGCAAAAGGAAACGCAACATTAACACACTCCTGTATTGTGGGTTTAGCATTGACTTTCTGCGGGCGTTTTAAAAGTTTTTTAAAATTCAAATTCAATTTCAAATTCAAATATATTTATTATGGAAATTACAACTGCTTGGCCTCACCAAGTTTTAAAAACTTGTCGGTGAGGTCCAATTGATACAATATAAGGCTAACAAACAAATAGTTTAAATTTTTTTTCCTTTTTTATTTTTTTTTGAACAAAGTTTTCTTAATATACTATATTTCTACGGCGGTTTGTGGCAGGCACTTTAACTTAAAACAAAGTAGTTGGCAGCACACTAAAAAATCTAAAATATAGTAACATAAATATTGCTTTATAATCTACGGAATTCTTTTTGGATTGCTCATATTTGGTCCTCTTTGTTTTTCATGGTTCGTTTTATTTAATTTTTTTATAAATTCGATTTTTGAATACATATAATTATAAATATTCAAGGGGCTGATGCTCAAACTGCTTATGGCTCAAATCGTTTGAGTAGAACGGGCGGAAAAGGGATCTACCAGAGAAAACTCGTATTGTATTAAGTATATACTAGCAGACGCGCACTAAGCATTCACACTGAATCCCTCTCAAATCCCACTCATTGAAGAACACAACATACAGTTAATACTGCGTAGTAAGTACATTGTTGTTAAGTAGTCGGAATAGATGTGGGTTTACATTTTAGCTATATTAACTTTTTCAAAATATAATGTTAAGTTATTTACATTTTACAAGTTTACAGACCTCTTTGAACACTATCTTTGAAGTAATAATATGGCGATGTACGGTTTTTGTGTTGATGGCTTTGCTTTTACACAGGTATAGATTTCCCTGAAAAAGCGCACCCTTGGCAAAGCCACACACAACTGAATGTGTAAAAAAACGGGGTCTGGCACGTACTGTAATCCTTCCTTTGTTAGTGTCTGTCCGCCAGTCCATGTGCCTTATTTAAAGTCAAGACAAAGGTAACTTCTTAGTCAGTTTGAAAGGATTTCGGATTAACTTATTACGTAGTTTGACCGCCGTCAGCCAACTTTTCTTTAATAGTGTAGGTGCCCAAGAGAGCACCAACCAATCTTAGACCCTGCTTAGCCCTCTCATCAACTTGATAATAGAGTTCTTTTTAGCATGGGTTTGAGAGGTGATGAACCTAAAGAGCTGAGTTCAAAAACTTGAATGGGTACAAAAAAACCTTCTACGTCCCTTGTTAAAGAATAAAACTGAACTAGTAGACTTAAAACTGAGTAAAATCTAACATAAGTTTATACAAATTAAAAATTAACGCTCCTTCTAAAATTTTAAAGTTCATCAAGGGAATACAATACCTTGTTGATGAGAAATGTTTTAAGACCCCTCTTAAATCCCACCATGCTTTTTGCCGATTTAATTTCATTCGGAATTTTGTTGTAAAATTTGGAGCCGGTATAACTTGGTTTTTTACTGTAAAGTTCTAATCTGTGGCGGTTTAGAGCAATGTTGGTTTTGTTTCTGGTATTGTAGTGGTGGTGTTCACCAGTTAACGCCAATTGAGAAAATCTGTTTTTAACATATAGAACTGTTTCATAGATGATGTACAATCCATATACTGTCATTATTTTTAATGGTCTAAAATGCTCTTTTGAAGTTCTCAAGTCAAGGTCCAAAATAATTCTTAAAGCTCTTTTTTGTAATTTTAGGATTGTGTCTAAGTTATTGATAGATGTAGCGCCATACAGAGATATTCCAAAAGAAATAACAGATTGTATGTACGAAAAGTATATTGATTTTAATGTTATTCGATCAAGAAGATTTTTTAATCTAGTAAATGCAAATAGACCAGATACAGTTTTTTTAATTACTTTGTTTGCTTGAGAATTCCAAATTAAATTTTTGTCAATTTCAAATCCTAAGAATCTAATATTTTCTAATTCTTTAATAGGTTTCTGATTAATTTCTAGTGAAGGATTAATTGAAAGTCTTGTCTGACGGGTCTCAAAACTTATGAACTCTGTTTTATCTGGATTCAAAAGTAACTGATTGTTTTAGAAAAAAAATTGAAAGTATATCTAGATTAGCATTAGCTGTCTTTTCAATTTCCTCTTCAGAATTAGCGGTAACTGTAAGATTTACATCGTCTGCATAAATACAACCACTGTGTACAAGACTTAGGGCTGCCGCCGTTATGATAAAATAACACCTGGGCCCTGTTTCATAAAACTACTAGTCTAGTATTTACTAGTCCATGGACTAGTAATACTAGTGTATTTTACAAGTCTACGTTTCAAAAACCTACTAGTGTAAAATACTAGTTGCTTGTGTAGGGACTAGTATTACTAGTGTAGACAGCAATGTGTTTCATAAAGTTTTACTCTTGTAAATTACACTGGTAAATACTTGCCATTTTCTAACAACCTCTCTACACCCGTATTACTTAAAGTAGACTAGTATTTTGGGAAAGAGAGTTATTTCATTACTCACATCATAAAAAAATGAATTATTAAGTTCTTTTTGCAAGTGCAAATTGGCTCATGTTAGCAAATTTAAGATAAAAATAGATCTGTGAGTGCTAAAATGATAGGTAATTATTTGATATAAATTACAATCAATAAATGTGGCGTAGTACAAAATGAGAGAAATAGAATTTTATAATGTATGTACAATCGCCCTATTAGAATTAATTATAATTATAAGTTATCAATTTCTGTGAAATTTTAGTCTAATTTTACTTGAGTTAAATTTCATGGTTATATCAACTATTAGCTATCACAGAGAAACGATTTTTAAGCTTTGGGAGAAACCAAATTAAAACCGCATACCGTATTGCATACAAAGATGTAACAAATGTATCAAACATTGCAACATTAATCAGATTATTTTATTTTACACCCAAGGCTCTCGGTTTTATTTAAAGACATTTTAATAGGAAATAATAGTAAGACAATTTTAAAGAGGAGTTGCATTGTATTTTTTTAGGTGCTTATTATTTGCTTCCCTAAATAGCTAAAGCTCTGTGATGTACTTACAATTTTGTAGGCCTATATTTGATTGTTGGGCATTGAACTGAACTGCTTTTCATAAAAATATTACTTTTAATCCATTTTGGTATTCTGAATTTGTTATTCAAAGTAATAAAAAAATTAGACGTTGATTATGTTATTTTAATGTAAAAACATGTAAAAGTTTAATTAATGGAATAAAAAGTATAGTGAGGATTTGAACGAGGGACCCGCCACATGACTATAACGGTGTTGCAATTATTTGTTACATCAATAAGCGTTTAGGCTTATTATTCATGGTTTGTAGACTCAAAATTAGAATATCACCAAATGGTTTTTAACCCAACCTTATGCATTCGAATATTTGAAAACATAGGTAAGGGTTCTTGAAACTGTTCCAATAAACAAAATGTCCTTAGACGATAACACTCAATTACATTAAAAATTTGAGCCTTCTTTTCTTTACTCATAGCAAGCTTAATTTTATAT